TGTATGCTTTGGTGTTTATACCTTCAGAAAGGTGGTCTCAATGATAGCCTCTCTGTGTCTCTTATGAACCTGGACATTTGAGTGATTGGTTGAATTGGTGAAGGGTAGGTTGTTTTCAAGCCCGTCAACCTGCAGAAAATACACACACACACACACACACACACACACACACACACACACACACACTGGGTTATGGGTTGTATTTGTACTTCTGCTTCCCATGCTGGGGGCAATATTAGCTTATTGCTAAAAAGTGAACAATGCTGCAGTGCCTTAAACTTGCATTCTTTCTACTGGCCATCAGGGGGCGACTCCTCTTGTTGCAAAAAGAAGTCCGATTCTATAGAAGTCCATGAGAAAATGACCCTACTTCTCACTTGATTTATTACCTTGGTAAACATGAGGGAATTCAGCCGATCGGCCTTGTACGGCCATGTTTTTGCAGGTCACACATGCGCCGCATGATAGTTTATGTGGGCACACAGCGGCACAGACGGAAACGTCCCAACCACACAGTCAAAACAAATCGCAAGAGTAACGTCAGGCAAAAATGTACGCCATGTTTGATTCACACTGCACCCCTGAGAAGGTGTGTGTGTGTGTGTGTGTTCCTCACCAGCACTCTGCCTGGGTAGTCCACTGACAGCGTGTACGTGCTGCCATAGACATTAACAGTCACCACTTTAGCGTATGACACTCTTTTGTTGCCACGGTTGTTATTCTCCAGGGTGACCTGCAATTCACCGAAAGAGGAGTAGAGAGGACAGATAGGAGGGAAACGAAACAAATCCAATGGAGGAATTAGTTAGGATATATGATGCAAATCTTTGTTCTTTTGACCTCAATGTACAAGACAGGAGTCTTTTTTTCCCTCAGATCTTTAACGAAAGTAAAAGCAGAAATATCCCCATTTAAAAATACTCCGTTACAAGGAAAATTCCTACATGTAAAATATCACTAAAAAGTACAAAAGCATCATCATCAAAATGTACTTAAAAGTGTGTCAGTGACATGCCAATTATCGAAGAATCGGTAATCTCTTTTAAATCACTTTATAAAACACATTTTTATAGACTGGCTTGTATGTGGTGTCGTCGCTTTTCTGTTTTATTTTTATTTATTGATTTTACTAAATTATTTTACTAAATTATTATTATTATTATTTATTGTATTTATTTCTCAGTTGATTTTTATCGTATCGACTGTCTCACTGAGCTTTCTGTTATTGTTATTATTGCCTTGCTTTTGCTGCTTTGTCTGTCAAAGTGCTATATCAATAAATTATTATTATTATTATTATTTTCCCAAACCAAACTCCTGTTTCCATGTTGATTTCAATTTGCACAATCTGTTGTGTAAATGTAAAGAAGCGGCCCAGTGGACGTGTGGTGGAGAACTTCATGGTGCACTGTACTGTTTGGTGCTCAGCTCACCTCAAAGTGCGTCAGACCCGTGGTGCCTGCACGCACACTGGCCAGCCTGTAGACACAGTTGCCCTGGAAGTCGAACTTGCGTCCATCGAAGGAGAGGAAGTGCGGATCTCCGCGTGCGCTGCAAGACTTAAAGCCGACTGGGTAGCAGTCTTGCACCCCGTCCACGACGCTGCACTTCTCTCCGGTTCGACAGCCGGCCTTCTCGCATTTCACCTTTTGTGTCGCTGCATCACACACACATTTCTCGCTACACAGCGAGTCGGCCCAGAAGTTGTCACCCGGTTCGTAGTAATGGCCCTCGTGGCTACAGCCGCAGCCCGTCTCCCTGATAACACACCTGACAGAAGCAAAGACACCCGGAACAAAAGGATGTCAATCAGAGTGCAGGGACGAGGTCTGACTGTACGGAAGACATTAGTCAGGAACGGGGGGACATTATACTTACTTTTCACCACTCTGCACAAATCCCTTGTCACAGAAACAGCCTTCCACACAGATCTTAGGGCAAACCTCCGGCTGAGCACCACAGTTGGGGGGACACGCTGAGCCGCACATGCTGTAGTGGCTGTGGGCTGGACAGTCAAGAGCTGGAGGCACAACAACAAGAGCGGGGAAGAGTTTAGGAGATGGACGGACAGAGAGAAGGAGCGCGGGCTATCCACACACGGTGACCTCTCGAGCCGAAGCACATTCAAAACACCATTTGAAAACTATTCTATCCAAGTTTTGACCTTTTAAATTGTAGATTTATGCACATTTATTTATGCCATGCATTAATCCAGAATTATATTCATTTCTAAATATCTCAGCACCAAACCATTGGAAACCAATGGACAGGATGGACGGATGCAGAATCAGCTTGGATCCACTTGGGTATCAGTCATATTGGTATACAGACCAGAGACCTGCAGCTATACAATGGGACCCTTAATATAACACTTTTATTAGACTAAATATAATTTGGACCCACCTTGACTTTTGTCCCGGGGCAACTGAAAGCACCTGTGAAGACCTCTAGTCAATATATATATATATATATATATATATATATATATATATATATATATAGCCAGCGTTCAGTTTAAATTTAGAACATTGAGGTGAGTGACTTCACGTCTGTCTGTCGTGTTTCCGTCTACATAAATGTTCTGTGTGTGTATTGTGTAAACTCACAGCAGTTGCCCAGTTGTCTCCATGACGACACAGACACTCCCACCTCTTGGCACTCTGCCATGTAGTTGCTCAGGGCCTCACACAGTACTTCTTCCCGTCCGTCATTGATGCAGACGTCATACAAACAGTCTGACGCAATCTCTGCTATGGGCACCTTACCATGGCACCCAGAGAAAGGCCCCTTCTTGTCGCTCATGATCCCACAGTATTCTGGACCAGTGTACCTGAGGAGGAGCAAAGGGGTTTATCGTCAGCTCACTCATATTAAGTACATATGATAATTAGTGCATTTACTCAAGTTCTGTACTTAACTACAATTTTGAGGTACATGTACTTGAGAATTTCCATGTTAATGCTAC